AGGAATGACCCCTTGCTGCCAGGACCAAGAGAAGAACTAGTTTAATCTGTTTAACGCTGAACAATATAGTTGCCAAAGCACTGGAGGAAGCTAACTGAAAAGAGTATTTGTAGAAACAATATAAATTGAAATACATACATGCTTATGTAGTGATTAGCTACCCCACTGCTGCTATAAACAAACAAGCTAACTGGTTATAACCCAGCCATACCCTCCGAAGTCTCTCCTTCGCTCAGCCTACTCCTGCCCTCCAAACCAAGTTACTGACAAGTATGACCTGGTGTAGTGACTGCATGGGTTCAAGACCATCTGAGGCCAAGTGACTACAGTATGGGACAAAAAGGGAAATTCAAGGTCCTCTCAGCTCTGCAGGAATGACACAGTCCTTTCTTTAGCTCACACAAAACCAACTGCCATTTCTCCATGTTTGCTCACATGTCCTGCTTCTCCTGTCACTGCTCCTCTTCTATTCACCAAATCTGTGTGCTCTAGCAAGTCTCCTTGCTGCTGCTCTTACCCCAGAGATAATTAATTTCTACCAGCAGGCAAGCCAGTGATGAAAGGGACCACTTCGGAACAAATCCATGGATACATATATGGTTTTATTTTGTGATAGCTGGGCCTGAAGACCATCCCATTGGCCTGTAGCTAGCGCTGAAGATCATCTTTCAGATGCTCTTGAACTGAGGAATTGTTCTGCTGTAAGCTGTTAGGGTGGGAGCATCCAGGTAAAACCGAAAGCTTTATGTTAGATGTAGGAACTTCTATCCATATTCGGCAAAAGGCTAACTCTCTGTTGGTAGTCCTTGCCCTTCATCTCTTCAAATCAGAAGAGCTCCCTTCTTTTAACTTCCAGCTTCCATATTTTATTTATATTCCATTCTTGACATCTCTTTCATAATCATTTCCTTATAAACATTTCCTCAGATACACCTTCTCCCCCACTTCCTCCTGTTTTATTTTCCCTACCTTATGCTTAACATATTTAATGACGTATGGGAAGTAGAACTAACTGACACATCCCAGGAGCTGTTGCTTTTAATTTCTGGAAGATGCTTCTTCCCAAACTTTACATTTGATCCTTAGATTAGTATTAATCTAGATATTTACCCTAGATTAGTATTAATGGTTTTGCACCACAAATAGTATTAATACTATTAATATTAGTATAATTATACTATTAATAGTATTGCACTACAAGTTCATGTCCAGCTCACATGCAGTTTCCTATTACAAATCAGTCTACCTCAAAACTGTTGGTTACTGATGGGAAGAAGTGGAGAGGTGTCCATGTAATGTAATCTGTTCCCCTAGTTGTGTCATTTCACTTTATTTGCAGTTAATCTCATCTAACAATAAACTGACTCTTCTGATACCTTCAGGCCCTTTGCAAGGTGTATTTTACACTGTTTTTTCAAGCTTATCTTACAGCAGACACAATCATTTCTCATACATTGTTTTCTTTTAGAAAATAAATAAATTATTAACAAGTTATATTTGTTGTTCACACTGTAATAATCTTTGGTGGAATTCAGTGCAAGGATCTGAATAAAATATTCAAACCATACACAACAGCTATATTTAGGAATAAGCCATAGTAATAAAGATATCCTGACTTACTGTAAGAGTCACACTGATCGTGACTCACTGATACGTCTTCTCTACATTGCTAATGAAATTATTAAGTAACAAGGGCCCCAATACTTACCTTTCACAGTGATAACCTATTGCTCTTCACTGGAATTTGCCAGTGATGGATTTCTAATTCATTCCCTCATATGAGTGCGTCAGAAATGCACTACATCTTGAAATAGTAATTTCTCTGTATAGCATTTTTCATAGAGGCTGTATTCCAAAATATTTTAGAGTTACATAATCCATTTGCAAGCACAAGAGGGAAAAAATAAAGAAGAAGAAAAAAGAGCGAGACAAACAGATACAGACCCTGGAGACAATCACCCTGAAAACACATGATGAGTCAACTAAGTGAAGAGATGTGAGACGGTTAGTCTGCAGCTACAGAAGAAAACACCATTTCACTGACGTCACAGATGTAGAGTGAAGTGGCTCAGAGAGGGACAGCATAATCAAAGCAGGACGATTACAGCAAAGCAAAAACTCAAGATCTTTTAGGTGGGCTACATCAGGTCATTAATAAGCTTTAAGCTTAAGAAAGGCCCCTTCTAACTCAGATCCTAAGTGAGCTTTAAATTTACTTGAATAGAACCATATAGAACTATTTTCAGAAACTGATCGCCTACAACATGACGTATGGACTTATATACACAGTATGTCCATTTGCTTACTAAAGACGTAAATATACCAAAAGGAAGCTACAGATTTTATAAAGTACAAATTTTAATAAAAACTTAGCATTTTCTAATCTTTCACCTCTTGCTAGTCTCTCAAAATTCTGCTTGCTAAGGATAGCTAATTCCTGGGTCATTATTACTTTTCATATGATCTTACACTGAAATTATTGCTTATGATATTGCTAGAACAGTTTCCAACTTTCATTATAATCTCCCTTTTGAGTCTGCCAGATAAGGCCCTTTTCAGCTGAAACCTTCCCATTCTTAGCCTAAAGCCAGCAACAATTTTTGGAACAGTGGAACAAGCAAGTTCAGGTGTGTTCAAAACAATCTTTAAAGATTGTTTAAAGTAGTAACATACTCTTTCCAAATAATTTGACTCAAGAATGGGGAAAAGTGAATAAACTCATTTCGTTCTTATGTGGTTTATTCTGTAGGTTAAAATGAGATTCAAGGAAGTTCCAGCTCATGTAATGCATTTCAAAGCATACCTGCTTAATGATTTTTCAGCTGTGGCTACCCTGATGGGGCCTGCTTTCAGCGTGATTTAGGTCGAGCCACAGAAGAGCGAGGGTCACCTTTTGGTGCTCTGCAATTGGAGCTATTTAATGCCTGAGTTCCCAGTCCTATCAAAACTCTGAAGTCTGAATTCAGAGTTTAACCCGCCTAAGCTTTGGGTCAGCCTCATTCAGAAGGCAGGTTTCACAAAGGAGGTGTGTAGGTGCTGGCTGGTCAGACCAGCGACAGAAAGACAGGAGCTCAGATGTAGCAAGGGAGGGTATAATTGAGGACACACCGATTCCATTAGGCTGAGTTACCTGGCCTTACACACAGTAAAGAAACAATCCAGAAAACACAATAAAAACATAATGGTTCTAAATAATTCCAAGAAAATGTCTTGGAAATAATTCCAAGAAAATAATTCCAAGTGTGTTTTTAAAGTCTGTACTACACAAGAATGCTTTAGCCTTTACTTTCTCAGGGCATGTTTAAAATCTGAATACAAACTCATCCCGACCTGATGATGCACAGCCTGACAGTTTCAGTGGCACACAAGACCTATGGGAAGCCACTGCAGTGAAAATGAGACCAGAACTGCCCAGGACGTGTATCACTGAAGGACATCTGCTAGCCTAAGAGTACTCTGTTGACTTGTAAATGAAATTTGGGTCTGTTCCCTTGGGTAAAAAAAGCAGCTTACAGCAAGTGGAAATTTTGACACAAATTCCTAAGGATCACCCCCACCCACCACTCTGCAATACAGTCGAACTTAGATATTTATCTGTCGCCTTCAGCGGACACAGCACAAGTTGCTGATGTGAACTGCTCGCTTGATGATCGTTTTTCCCTTCTCTCTAAATTAAGATGGTGCACTATAGCTCACCTGTAACTTCTGGGTCAGAGAATCCCTCTGTGCCTGGAGCTCTCTGGCATTGTCGATTTCTTGTTTCAATCCTTCTATTTCCTAAGGAAGAAGAAACAACCTTGCTAGTGACAGGTTATTGGGTTTGGCCTCAGTACAGGTAAGCTGGCTACTGCTTCTCCTCCTGAGCAAGCCATTGCAATGACACCAAAACTGGTAGTTGACTCCTGCCCGTCACAGCACACAAAATCTAAGCCCTGCTCTCAATTCTCCTGAATCACAGTCCCAAACCAGCAATTCCATTGCAAATAAACCACAATACAGATAAGCATTTTCTTTTATAAAAGTCCAAGTCTTCCTCTCCCATGCAAGAGATCTGAAATATTTTTTTCCTGGAAAATTAGGGGTCCTTGTAATTAGAGAAACAATTGTATACTTTAAATTCTATTAGAATCTATCCTTCTCCATTTTTTCAAGAGAAAAATCCAATTTTCATCTGTGAGCTTCTTATTATGTCACTAGCGGCAGGACTGAGCATCAAAAAAATTGGCTGCTTTCACCATTGATTTCTGTAAAAAGAGAGTCTAAAAGAAATGGTATCTTTAATTTAGCAAGAAAAAAGTAATAAATTATAAAAATAACAAATATGTATAAAATAATGAACAGGAGAGAAACCTTTTCTTAGCTTACTTTCAGAAGACAGGAATGAAAATACTTAATGAACCTAAAAGGTATCAAATTTAAAACTATGAAGTGCTTTTCCCCGGAAGGGCATATTCACCTCCCAGAACTCCTTTCAGAAAGATCTCTTCGCAGCCATCAGCTCAGCATAATTCAAAAGTGCACGGGCACCAAAATGGGAAACATTACCAACCTGAGGCTAATCTCTTAAGTATGAGGGAGTTTGGAAAAGGCTTTGTTCTGTTTTGGGAGAATATTCTGTAACTACTGTGCCTCTCCCATATCCTCCTCTGAAACACCTAACTACTGCCCTGCTGGAAGCACGACCTTGCGAGACGCACTGCCCCTCCAAACACGCACACGAGTGCCCACTGCATCTGTCCCGGAGCGCTCAGGGGATCCGGTCTCACACGTGGCAAATAAAACTTCATGCACAGCTCCTTCCACCTCCTTTCTCCCATCCATAAAGGATGACTCTCGCTCATTCTGCAGCACAAATCTGCTTTCCTCTAGCACCTGTGCCAGTGCAGGTGGTACTCCAATTCGTTTTATTTCCTTGCTGCTGGTCCAGCCCAAGGCAGATGGCACAATAAGTATCAGCGCATTTCAGGCCGGAGGGTTGGCATGCATTTAAGGAAAGGGCTGGTCTTAGGGATCATAAAAGTCACGTGTATTAACATAGCCTGAAAAACAGATTGGGCTGAAAAATACATTGATCTAGTACTTTTTCCAAACCACACTCTCCAGAAAAAGGAAAGCGTGCTTACGACAGCTTCCCTTCTTGGTGAATTTGGACTGCATCAGTGTGATGACTGCTCTGTGGAAACCACTTATGACTGACTTTTGTGAACGGAGACGCCCGGTAAAAGCAAACAGGAAACCATGCTACTTCTTTCTGTTGTTCAGATACCCAGCTCCGTATTGGACTGATGTAATTATATATACAGGAAAATATTCATCATTTCAAAGAAGCTGAAAAAAAATTTTGTTCGTACTATCTACAGGAAATAATATTAATCAGCCATCACAAGCTCAATATTGGAAGCCTTTAGAAATGATGTAACAGAAAAACCAAGAATAAATGTTAGCAAATACCTCTTCCTTTTTCTTCAGCGTAGACTCTAACTCCTGTATTGTCTGGTTTAATTCTGTTTTATGTGTGTGGACTGCATTGGCTTGACTGCTCACACACTCTAGTTCAGTCACCTGTTAAAATAAGTAGAAGTAACACATACAGAATAAATTTCAACACATTCAAGGTACTATGACTTCTTTGCATCAATAGCTGCCTTGGAAACATACCCTCAGTTCTGGGTGACTTATGCTGATTAAAATGGTGAAGGTGTTCTTATGAAATTAGCATAAAATTCCTTAAAAAATTGTTTAGCATAAAATGGTTGCTATGACTTCTTGGAAACACTAAATTTAATATGTTGCAGGCTGAAAAGAAGATTAATTAGAAGTTATGCTTATTAATTACTGAAAATTTTATGAAAGAAGCTGAATTATCATCTTAGAAACAGTAATGGTTAGATGATTAAACACAGACCTGTCTGTGTAACTAACCTGTCCTTCTGACATGTTTTAATATTGCACCATCTTAATCAACTAAGCCACAACGCTCACCCAATTCCTAGCAAGCCAATTAACATTTCACAGTCTCAATTTCTGACTTGGCATAGCAGTGTTACAGCAGACACTCAGCCACCAATGTACAGCTGCCAACTTTTTACTTCCTCTAGTTTCGGATCTCATCTCTCAGTCACAAAGCCAACAGCTAATGGCACAATTTGGATTTGCACAGTTCCTCTTTATTAGCGGACAGCAAACACTCTCCATCTGCCCTTGGACAAGTTAAGATACCTGGCAGTAGTATGCCCTTTTTATTTTATTTTTTCATCAAAGAGATGTTAATATCCTACCATTCACAAGTAAACAGTTGTAAAAAATAGCTTCTGCACTGAAGAAGTAAAATCCATGCAGCTAGAGACTATGCAGGAAAGTCTTTGTTCATGTACCTCTCAAATTACAGATCAAAATATTTGAGAAGTCTCACACTGCATGTCTGTGTGGATGTGTGCACTAACCCCCTTTTGTTTAATAACAAATGGTTAAAATATTAAAATTACTATTTAAAACCTAGTAACTCTTTTTTTTTTTTCCCCCCAGTAAATATGGGCCTGTCAATCTTAGTATACGGTCATAAACAGAGCCATACCATCTACCTACAGTAATGAACAAATCTGGCCTAAAAACTCCTTTGAACAAAGTGCTACCCAATTCTGCAACAAAAACCTTTAGGTGTCCATTTGACTTTCTTGCAGAAGTAGCCCTTAGACAGAGAGCAGGCATGCTGCAGGAAAATTCTAGTTCTTAGATAAAAGAGCATCTTGAGGAATCAAGGTTGATGTCCTCCAACAACAATGTAGTCTAGGCAGTGAAGCCACTGTGACACCAGTAATTTCAGACTCTGAACTATTTGTAGGCTCAAAAGGTAGATACGGAGTGCAGAGAGAAGTCAAAGGAAAGCCAACATGAAATACAATAAAATAAAATAAAAAAAATGCCTATCAGCTTCTCCTTTCTGAGTCACAGGGCACGAACTTCTCCCCTGTAACAGCCACGATGAGTCTGGTTTCTTCTACTGGAAAACTGTGATTAGACATTTTTGCACATCAGACTTATAAAGGGAGAGGACTGAGATTATAGCAAATTCTTGGGAGGGGTAAGGGGAATGAGAGATGAGGATACAGCTTGGTAACACAACACCCCACACCCCACCCCAAAGAACTCTCTTATTTGCTGGAATTGTTCCAAAAGAAATACCAGTGCTAATGGCAAAAAGTAATAGCAGTTTGCTCAGTTTTATCTGCTATTGAGCATTGCAACTGAAGTCTTAGATAATTTTCTCAATTTGGTTCAATTACACAAAAATACATCTATTGAGACTCCTTGTGATGGCAACCAACTGTGACCATTACAGTATTCACCACTACAATGACACAAGCACAAACAAGCAGAATCGGAACACACCAACCAGGATAAACCTATGCCTACACTGTGTCTGAACTAACATCTAGATACAGCAAGAATCACAGAGGTACAGAGTAATTTAGGCTGGAAGGGGACCCTGGTGGTCATCTGGTTGAGGCCCTCTGCTCAAAACAGGGCCAATCTTGAAGTCACATTTGGTTGCTGAGGCCCTTGATTGGTCAAGAACCCTTCATTATCTAGCAGAGCTGCCAGTTGTAGGCAGAGTCCTGTGTTTCTGACATTGAGGGTTTATGCAGAGTGCTACCTCATTCCCAAGTTTTGCTGGAACTCTCAAACTCATTCACCTTGCCCACCTTCACCCCTTCTGATGCTTTAACTTTTTAAACATTTCCAAGCTTTTCTGCTGAACTGGGTCTTGAATTGGTGGTGGAAGCCTCTACAAACCCAGGGCTAGGGTTGTTAGGGGAACCCAGGCTCAGACCCTCTCCCACTCATTGTGAAAGACCACAACTTTCTATGGTAACCTCCAAAGTATATCTCCAAAGCTGTTGTGCTCAACAATACCCACTGGCTCTTATCAATCACTAGCACAGTGAATACTCTTCTACACAAAGTGTAAGAGCCTCAACTGGAGAGACGGAAGAAAACCCAGTCCCAAACCAACTCTGTCCTAGAACATAGTGCCTTGGAAGCAAGTGCTGGTACACGCAGTGAGGACGCATGTGTTGGCACAAGCCTGGAACACAAGGAGGCTGGTGGATTCACCTGCGGTGGATGAAATATCACTGCCCTGGGCTGTGTGTATTGTCGCTGGCTGAAAACACCTCCTGCAACAGTCCCACCAGCTGCATGGCTCACCTGAACGCTCCCCTGGATGCCCTGGTCCGTACTAACTCAAGACACTTACTGAAATTGCTTAAGCAAACGCAGCTAATTTTGCTTGAGCAGATCAAGGAGTGTCCTCACAAACCTTGCCAACAGAGGCAACTGCTGTCAGCAGGGCAATTAATTACCAACACTAAAGGGGTCTGTGATGTCTTACTCTGGTGCAGCTTTTCACTGGGCAAACATCCATCTCTTACTGCTTATGCAAGGAAAAAATGCATTGTTCAACTGTTTTGTTTACTGTTTGTCAAAAAATCATTAAGTTGGAAAAAAAGAACAAATTAAATTAAAAAAAAGGGTTTATTTTAATTGCAGTCTTTAAATGCCCATTCCTACAGAGAACTGAGAAGATGTCAAATATCTTCATGATGTTATCTTCTTGAATGTACCTATAAAAAAGAAAATCATATTGTGACCCTTTCAAAAAAATCTGTAGAGTAAGATGGGCTGGAAAATGATGAGATATAAAGAATATGCAACTGCAAACACAAGTAACAAAAGATACAGCTCTAGGCAAAAATCTGGATAGCACTTACTTGCTCTATTTTCTTGTTTCAAATCGAATTCATTTTTCTCATGACCAGTGGTCCAAAAATCATTAAAAATAACTGTTTATGCATTATGCACAGAAGGGGACATAAAAGGAAGGTAAAATGCTTTATTCTGACCCTCCCATGTGAGATTTTCAGAGCCATCTCCTCATTCAGTGTTTCATGTCTAAGAGCAAGGCTCAATCAGTCATTCAAGCCTTTGCACAGCAACACTGAGCAGTGTACCTGTGATTAAGACTCGTTTCCAGTACAGAATTCAGACTGAAAGAACAGTCTTTGAACAATAACTGATTAAACAAGGTTCTTCTATTGTGCTACCGTAAGACTGCACTGACTTGCATATCTGAAAAAAGTCAATACCGTGGCTTCGCATTTGAGACTAAAAAGGAAAAAGGTCATGTATTTAGCTTCTGCTTCTTTATTTTTGCGTTTACCAGCCAGGTAATGATTCCGCGTAGGGGAAAGAAATTCTGAAAGGGCTTTTTAGTGACTACTTAATGAGCTAACTCTTCTAGGATATGGCTGTCATTATACTTAACTGCGTACTTCAGTGAGAAATACATCAGCGGAAATAAGACAGCAAGGCAGAGACGAGACCTTCTCAGCAGAAGCCATCCTAGAGTTTCCTGGAAATTTTGATCTAGGGTCAACAGCCTACAGACAGAGGAGGATGTCGGGTAGAAGTTTTCATTGTAGCAGGCAGCTGGCACAGACTGGGCTGCTGGGAAGACTGGAGGAGTGAGGCTTTGGGCCATGTAACACAATTAGGAAGAACAGCCTTGATGTGAGCTTAAGACAACGACTACCTAAAGCTTCGGAAGACTGTAGAATCTTTCGAAGAAACAAACCAAATCAAACCGCAAAGAAACCAGGAGAGGAGATTGCATCAAATCCCAATGCAGACAACTACTTCACAAGAAAAGACTTCAGTCAGACAGAGGCAAGGAAGTGGGAATGACAGAAATATTTCAAGCGGTCACCTTCCCTGAGCAATTATTGACCGAGTGAATCTGTGCTATGTTTGCTGCAGGTTGAGTCATTTTTTCAAACCACTTTCTTGAGATAAATTTGTATGCCTCTGATCTCAAACAACAATAGTTTTTATTCAGGATCTTAAATTCAGTACTAACAGATCACGAAATTCCTTCTAAACTTCATACAGAAATTACTTCAACTGCTATGGAAATGCAAAGAAAGACAGATTAGAACATATTTTAATTGTAGCTGTAGCCCATTTTATGCACCTAACACTGTTAGCTTGTTTCCTACAGGTATTTTTATCCCTTCTGTTTATTGTGGAATGCAATATCCAAGGTCTACTAGCCCAGGCTACAGTGCAGAAAAGGTAGAACGCTCACATGCAAGACTGATTTTAAGTATTAATGATGTATTTTTAGCTGTTTCAGTTACATCCCTAAATGGATCATAACTGTGACTGTGATAATATTATTCCATCAATAATTCAAGATGAACCTCCTACTAAGAAGAAAGAGCCCTTTGCTATCCACAAGGAGAAGAGAAATGGTGTTGCATGGCTCAGCAAAACTAGGAATAACTGCACAAAGTTTCACATAATTTATGTAGAAGAAGCTTCTCAGATCTTCATGGTGGACAGTAAGATGCAAGAGAGCATGCGAACAAGCTGATCTTAAAAATAATTCCAGTATAGCTTTCAAGAATAAAAAACTCTGGAAAGATTCTTGGTGCTAAGAAGTGTGAAAATGCAGAAAACAAGGAAAATTCCTTTTCAAGGTTGCTGCTGAAAGAACAGAAAGC